TCTAGTTTGAAATTCTTTTGTATTCATTTGTTGGATTATTCAACAAATATGTATTCACTGCTTTGGTGTGTACAGGAATTCTGGCATCTGACTTAGAGAGCTGACATCTAGTGACAAGGCAACCAGCCTGCATAAAGTTTAGACACACTACAGAGAAAGTTTATTCCAGGCAAGCACTGAATAGTTCAAGCACTGAGTAAAATAAACTGGAAATTATTGTACTCACTCAACGAATGGGGTCTTAAGCTAGGTGGAAATCTAACTTTTTTATTCTCCACTTACAACCTCTACAAGTTTTTCATCTTTCATAGTTTCAGGGTTTTTTACTGTAAAATGAATGTTGTTGTCTTTCGGTATCTGCAGGGGTTGGTTTTAGGATCCCTCAATGGATACCAAAGTCTATGGATGCTCAAATTTCATATAAAGAATGGTATAATACTTGCATATAACCTGTGCACACTGCCCCATATTCTTCCTTCCTTCATTCACTTCTCTCTCTCTCTCTCTTTCTTTCTTTTTCTTTCCCTCTTTCTTTTAGACTGGGTCTTGCTATGTTGCCCAGACTGGTGTCAAAACTCCTGGGCTCAAGCAATCCTCTTAATCAGCCTCTGAGCATGGGGACTACACATCCATACCACCGTACCTGACTCTACATACTTTAAAGCATCTCTAAATTGCTTATGATAACTAATACAATGTAAATGCTATGTAAATAGTTGTTTTACTGTATTGTTCTGGAAATAATGGCAAGAAAAGATCTGTGCATGTTCAATACAGCCATTTTTTCCTAATATTTTTATTTGCAGTTTGTTGAGTCTGGGATGGGAACCTGTGACTATGAAGGACCTACTTCATGGGGATCCTGTGGTCATTTAATTTGACAGTTTTTGTGGAAGTGCTCAGTGAAGCAGCTGTCATGTAACTTATACCTAACATTTAATTCTAGGACCACTTTACCCTGCAGGAGACAAGGTGCTGATGCAGTGGGCAGGTTTTGTTCAAGTTCACCAACATCATGAAGACACTAGAAATGATACAAAAATAGTGTCTTCATTCAAGTGATTGTCAGTTTGAATCTGGAATCATGTTATCCTCTTCTTGCTGTTTCATTTTAATCATGTAATGGACCCAGAGAAAAGCAGCAAAAAGAAAGGTCAAGGACATGAATCGACAGTAGACACAAGAGGACAACCTGAAAGGCTGGGATAGTGTGGGCTGGAACACAGAGGTCTGAGGGAAATAGAGTTGGGATCTCTGAGATCTCAGACCAAGCTAAATGGGGATTTGTCATCCACATCCTGGAACATGAGGCCATTTCCTTTGAGACCTTTGTAGAAGTCTGCTTAGACTCACAGCAAGTGGGATGGCACCACAGAGGCTCCAAGTCAGCCCCCTCATTTTATAAGTGAAGAAATCCATGTTCAGAGAGAAGAGTTTCCCAAATAGATATTCATTCATTCACCAAGGGCTTATTAAGTCCCTGGCCTACATCTGACATCATTCCAGAAAACAAGACAGGCAAGGTCCTCGCTATTATGGATTATATTTTAGTGGGGAACATGGAGACAATAAAAAGAAAATAAATGAAGATGATGATTTCAAAAGAAGATTAATGAGATTAAGAAAAATATACCAAGTAATGACCAAAAGTGACCATGGATGGGAGAAGGGACTTTTCTTTTTTTAAGAATTTAACCTTTATTTTTTATGT